CACCACACAGCACACACACACACACACATACACACACACACAGCAGCGACACCACACACACACCACACACCACACAGCACACACACACACACACACGACACACACACACAGCACACGACACACACTGGCCACCCTGGCTGAGCGCTCATCCTCTCACTTGACGTGGAATCGCCGCGCATGTATACGCGAATGTATATATAAATATATATATCAAAGCTACTAATAATACCTTGAGCTAATATAACCAAGAGCTAATTTAATAATATATTAGCTCTTGATATATATATACAATGTATATACATGTATACATACATAGTATCTATATAGTTTTTGATGTATTTATTTATTGTATTCGGGATATATTTTCCACAAAACGCGCCGCGCCGGGAACGCTGATGCCGGAGCCACTCGACACGACGGCCCATATTATTGTCATAGTTGTTTCTTATATGACACAAATGTATGACAGCAGCCGTGTGTCGCGCCGGTTTGACAACAGCACAGGAACAGATTCCAACAAATGTATTAACAATTGAAATCTTATCATTTCTGAACCCAACCCTTACCATTCAATAACCCGTCTCTTTGAGTTTGAATACAAAGGGTAGTCGGCAAATCCGCAACAAACAAGATCTATTGAAATCTACGCAAGGATTACAATTAGTATTTATATGACAGGTTTTGAGAAACAAATTTTGCAGAGATCAACTGCCATTACCAGAAGGAAGAGTTTTTATCATATTATATATGTGTTTTTTCGCTAGAAATAACATTCTGATCACTGGACTCTTCTCTTAACCCTTAGCCGAGGTATTAATACAATACTCACGGTCGGCCTTTATTGATCACTATATCTTGTGTGTTATTTCTATGATCATGTTTTGCTCATTTGCAGCAAAAATCGTGGTTATGATTAGGAAGCACTTATTCCGCTTAACATTGATTTCAGCTGCAGACATAATTTGTGGATTTCCCGATGAACGGCAAACTCTGAACAATGTTTCTTTTAAACGAGTGGTATTTTTCAGCAACAACAGGAACAGCTCAAATGGTGACCCGGACCGGCGCCGGCGAGTTGGCCCGTCTCCCAGCGCGCGCGCCAACACACAAACACGCACGCGCGGCAGGCGCACGCGCGCGCGCACACACGCGCGTACGCAACACACACACATCCACGACGCCGCACACACACACGCACACACACGCACACAACACACACATCCACGCGCGCACACACATCGCACCACACAGCACATAAGCACACCGCACACAGCCAGCACTGCACTACACATGCACGCTCACACCACCACTCGCGCAGCAAGCAACACGCACGCACATACAACACGCACACAGCGACGCACACACACGCACACACGACACGCACAAACACCCACACACACGCACGAGCATACACACCCGCACACAACACACACGCACGACACACACTAACATGCCACGCGCAGCGCGGCGACAACGCACAACACACGCACACACAACGCACGGCCACACACGGCACACACACAGCACACACACACACACACACATCCACGCCGCGCACACACACGCACAGCACACATATACACGGGACACACACACACACACACACACACAACACACACACACCACACGCACAAAACACGCACGCATACACAACACAACGCACACACACGCTACACAACACACGCGCCGCAGCGCAACACGCACGCACATACACACGCACAGCGCGCGCACACACACCCAGCCGGCACAAGTCACCCACGCACGGAGGCACACCAAACACGCACACCCACACGAGCGGGGAACACACACAGACAGCGCACACACGCGTGCACGCGCGCGCAGCACACCCACAGAACGCACGCCACGCGCAGGCAGCAGCACGCACAGTGTTTATACTGGCACAACGGTTCGTACACTTACAATTTACAGAAGGAGCGGTATGCGTGGAATTGTGAGGGAAGCGAAATGTTTTAGGGGCATGGAGAAGTAATACAGAGCAGGGCCCTGGTACTAATCTAATATGCCCGGACCGTACCTGTAGCTATTTAAATATGCGGACCGTACCTGAGTTACTATCTAATATGCCGGACCAGGTACCTGGTAACTATTAATAATGCCGGACGCGTACCGCTGGTACTACTAATATGGCCGGACCGTACCCTCGGTAGCTATCTAAATATGACGGACCGTACCCTGGTACTATCTAATATGCCGACGCGTACCCATGGTACTATCTAATATGAACGGACCGACCTGGTACTATACTTAATTATGCCGGACCGTACCTGGTACTATCTAATATGAGCGGACGCGTACCCCCTGGTAGCATCTAAATATCGCCGGACCGCACCCTGGTACTAATCTAATATGCGGACCGTACCGCTGGTACTATCTAATATGCCGGACCGTACCCTGGTACTATCTAATATGACGGACCGTACCCTGGTACTATCTAATATGCCCGGAGCCGTACCTGGTACTCATCAATATTGACGGACGCGTAGCGCCTGGTACTATTTAATATGCCGGAACCGTAACCCTGGTATCTATCTAATATGCCGAACCGGTACCCTGGTACTTATCTAATATGACGGACGCGTAACCGGGGCTGGTACTTATCTAATATGCCGGACCGTACCCTGGTACTATCTAATATGCCGGACCGTACCCTGGTACTATCTAATATGCCGGACCGTACCCTGGTACTATCTAATATGCCCGGACCTTAAACCCTGGTACTAATCTAATAATCGACGGACGCGTACCCCTGGTATCATATCTAATATGGCCCGGACCGTACCCTGGTACTATCTAAATATGACGGCCGTACCCTGGTACTATCTAAATATGCCGGACCGCACACCTGGTACTATGCTAATATGCCCGGACCGTACCCCTGGTACTATCTACATATGCCGGACCGTATCCCTGGTACTATCTAATATGACGGACCCGCGCGCGGTACCCTGGTACTATCTTGAATATGCCGGACGCGTACCCTGGTAGCCTATGCTAAATATACGGACCAGATACCCTGGTACTAATTTAATATG